CCGGATTCCATTCATGAAACTTATTGAACTCCATTCCAGTGGAACACTCCGTTTACTTCCCAAGAATATTTGCATATTTATCGTTCAGAGAACCAAATCGTTTTGGTCAATATTTGATGACTGTAGGGGTAAGAGATGGATGATACACCCACCCCCTTTTAAGATCATTTTATTGGGGACTCTTCCTGCTCTTATAACAATCCATACATCAATTGAATCGCGCATATTTGTACACATGCTGCCATCATTATTTTCTAAACATTTAAGTTCTGTTTGAGCCCTTGGTATCAGCAGCTCTTTTTTCCCTCCTCCCTCCTACCCTAGTGACCCTTCGATAAATTATAAATTATTATTACTTTCATATAGTTTCTGTTGCTAGTCCCCTTGGGGGGGGTGGTGGTTATATGTTGATCATTGCGATCAGTTCCCCCTTCCTCTTCTTACCTTCCCTTTACCCTCATGGTATCACTACTCCCATTTCTGTTCCTGAGGGATTTATGTGATCTGGATTCTGTGTGTCCTGAGTTCTTATCTGTACCATTGTACATGCTCCAGCCTGGCCCCAAGTGACAGGCAGGACTAGGGCCTTGATAGTTGGGGTGAGGAAGCCTCAAGGAACCAGAGGAATATCGTGTGTTTAGTCGGTGCTGTACTGCACCCTGGCTAGCTCATCCCTTCCTTGTGACCTTTCTGTGAGGGGATGTCCCATTGTCTACAGATGGGTTTTGGGTCTCTGGTCTGAGCCCCCTTGTTTTCAATAATATGTTTTTGTTTGTTTTGGGTCTTCTCATGTGCATTACCTAATTTCATCGACACCTCATGATTGCACAGGCTGGTGGATTTGTTGCTTCTCTGCTAGATGGCTGCTTGTTTAACTTCACACCTTTAAAACCCCAGACCCTATATCTTTTGATAGCCAGGCACCATCAGCTTTCTTTATCATGTTTGCTTATGCACTCATTTTGTCTTCAGCGATCGTGCAGGGAGGGTGAGCATCACAGAATGCCAAGTTATTAGAACAATCTTATTGTGTTGAGGTAGAGTTTAAGCAGAGGCTCAAAGTCCGTCCACTACCTCAATGTATTGCCATCTAAATACATGTACATACTTCAATACCTCGATTTTTCTGAATGAATGTATATATATGCAGACCTATGTTTATACCTCTGTTCATAGCTTTGCTTCTTTGGTCTTAACTTGTTTCCTTTTACTTTCTTCCTTTCCACCATCATACTCACCCTTCTTTAAGCCTCTTAGTAATTCAGCTAGATTGCTGTTGCTCCAACATCCCCAGGGTCACTACTTCCTCACCATTGTTGATTTCATCGCTCTCATCCACAGCTGCCTCCTCCTCCCCCCAACTCCCTCTGGAACTGTTGTTCGGAACTGTTGTTCCTATTGCTTCTCGCGCCTATCTTATATGGGTAGGCAAACCAACAATAATGGAGACAAAACACAAAGAAAACAAAAAATTGAATAAAAAGAGAGAGAGGGAAAAAAAACTAGAAAAGAACTAAAAAGCATAGATAATTCCAGGTCTGTCTACTGACTTTTATGACTGTCTCTGCACTGGTCCTGGAGTATTCCGGGATGCCCCACCTAGCCTGGTCTATTTTGGGTGCTTCTCAAGGACTTTGTGGCTTGGCTTTGTTCCTGTTGCTGATCTGTTATGTTCCCTTCTTGGTTCGCCCTTCTGTGGGGCTTTCAGACCAGACTAACTCCTCACCTTGTGTCCCCAGTCTTCTGTCGCGGTATGCTCCGGCGAGTTATGCTCCAGTGAGGGGACATTGGATGCACTTCTTTTGACTCACTTTTTCTCTCTTGTCCAGTTTCATTTCCTGAAAGATAGCTCTATTGTGACTGCCTGCTTGCCTCATTTAGCTAGTTAAAGTTCATAGATCGAGGCATGGGCAGGTTTTTTGTTTTAATTTTACTGTAAATTGAGCAAAGGTAAAGCAAAGTAAAAACTCAAAACTTTTAGGACAATCTTTTTTTCATCAAAGGTTTGTTCTTAATTGGAGTCTATGGCAACAATATATGTTAAAAATTCTAGTCAATCCTAATGTTCTTAAAAGTGAAGAATAACGATAGTCGAGAAATAGCGTTTATTAAGTCTATACTATTGGCCAAGAAAGGAACGCTGGTAGTATAGTTTGTTATGATTGGGCTGCTAAGTGAAAGGTCAGCAGTTGTAAACTACCGGCCACTTCATGAGACAAAGAGGAAGCATTCTGCTCCCATAAAGACTTTTACCGTCCTGGGAACCCAGTCTACAGCTTTTCTTTGTGGTAGTTAACAAAATATTAAGACACACAAGGGCTCCAGGCTACAGTTGTAACAGGAAGATATGACAGTGCAAAAAAGGAAACTTGAGATTTGGTAACAGATGTCACTTTCGAACCCATCAAATATACTTGGTTATGTGCTGGCGGATGTCCCTGTAAATTCTAGAGTCACTATGAGTCCCTCTCTCTCCAGTTTTAATTCTGTCAACAACGTTGTCACGTATAAAAGAGAATAACATAAGCTTAAACTGCAAATTCCTTTCCCATGTTTTATAGAAGGTCTTGACTCATTTTCTACTAAAATGAAAACCAAAAAAAATTTCCTTAGGCCAGGTCTAGGTTGTTTTTTTTTTCCCCTCATGAAGCATATTTGAAGACTCATTTCTTCTGCTTTTTTTCCTATCTGCCTTTTACTTGTTATAGTATAAGTTTTGTTCTTTAAGACTTCTTCCCCCATTTTGGACTCCTAGTAAACAAAACTCTTTATCCTTTTGTTTTGAATAGGATATATAAAAACGATCAGAATATATATATTCTAGTCAGTTTGTAGCATATTGGAGTATAGGAGCCTGAAACCCTTTTTTTTCTCTAGTGTGTACACAATAGAAAAATCATTAGCCAATCAGGGATCCCAAAACCGCTTTTTGCTTTACTCACAATTCTCCAACCACTCCTTCCTTGACCTTGGGCTACTGGGAAACTTTCTAGGCGCATGTGGCTAACATATAAAATGAAAAGGTCTCTTCATTTCATTCTGTTGGAGGTAGAATGATGTCCTCCTCAGGAAGGCCCTGTTCTAGTTTTTTTTTGTTTTAAATATCATTCAAGCTCATAAGTGTAGACTTATCCAGAATAAAAGGACATGCTGCGTAAGCAGTGATCTTGAATAACATCCACTAGTACACATGATTCAATGAATTTTCGGCCTTCTTTCCTATCTTTGAGCAAAAAAAAAAAGCTAGACATATGGAGCCTTCCGAGTATATATAACTCTGTGTTAAATGTCACAGAAGGATCATGTAAATGAAGGACAGAGGCCCTCGTAGGCAATGGGTTTTCCCTTAACAAAATAGAATGAAAACCTTCTGATTATGTGACTATCTCATATCATATCATACATATCTCATATCTCATCCAGCCCTTTTCTAATCTATAAAATAAGACTACAGCGCTTTCTCCCCAGGGTTGACGCCAGCAAGCAGTATCTGTAAAGCATGTATCAGAGCACTTGGTACACTCAGTTTATAAATAGAGGCCTGTATCCTCTGTTTGTATAGCTATCTCATATGCATTATCCCACCACACCACAGAATACATTTCATTTCTATGTTCCCGTTGTTTCATAGCAGTCATCATAACACCATCTAGTGGAAAAAGATGTAAACAGAAAAATGGATAGATACTTTTTAAAGGCTACACAGGAAAGAGGAGTGGATTGGGCCATGGTAATGTAATTGACCAAGTGCTTGCTCGTAAACTTAAAGGCCTTTAGTTTGAACCAGCAGCTCTGAGAGAAAAGATTTAGCTACATCTGTTAAATTGTAAAGATTATAGCTTAGGAAATCCTATGAGATAGTTCTCTTCTGTCTTATTTAGTCACTGTGTGTTGGAATTGACCCAATGGCCCACAATGACAACAACAACAGGAAGAGTAAGAACATGATATGATAAGCTGGAGCAATCTCTGATAAAAATTAAAATGTGACAAGTTCCCAAAGGGATGCTATTCAGTGATCTTCTCAGTTGATAGAGAGATAACACTTTTTAAAAATTAGAATATGAGTCTCTTTCTTTTAACTTTCTTCTAACTTTTAACTAAAGTGTTTGTATATTTAAATGATGATCTTACATTTGGAGATAAAAATGAATTTTGGCTTATGGTCAATTTCCAGTTAATTTCTGTTGGCACAACTTCCTCCCTGTCTTGGGTTTCTATGAGTTAGCCTGAGCTGTGTGGCCGTGAGTTTGGTGGGGTCTTTATAAAAGCCAAGATTCACCAGCCACCGTGAGAGAGAAACATAACACTGTTTGCTCTGATAAAGATGTATAGTCTCAGTAACTATATAGGGCTGCTATGAGTTGGAATTGACTTGGTTTGGTTGGAAGCTCTTTTAAAAGGGGTCTCCTTAGGTAATGCAAATGATTATATGCTCAACTATTAGCCAAAAGGCAGGGAGTTAAACCTACCCAGAGGGACCTCAGAAGACATACCTCCCAGCAAAGCACAACATTGAAAACTTTCTGGAACACAATTCTGCTCTGATACTCTTGGGATTATCATAAGTCCGAATCAGTTCCATGGCAACTAACAGCAGCTTGGGTGCTGGAGGGCCAATTAGTAGAATGTCAGGTAAACTAACAACACCAACAGTAAACAGCTCTTAATGTTTTTCTTGAAAACATTATGTATCAAGAAAGTGAATGTGGTTGTCTTCTCTCGGGGCCATCAAGTTGGTTCCCCCTTACAGCAACTTCTACATAAAACAGTGAAGCGCAGCCTGGTACTGCACCAACTTTAACAATTACTGTTATGTTTGAACTCCTTGTTGCAGCCACTTGTCTGTCCATATCCTGGAGAATCTTTCCCTTTTTTACAGACTTCCACTTTACCAAGCATGATGTCCTCCTGATAACATGTCCAAAGACAAAGTCTCCTTATCCTGGATTCTAAAGAGCATTCTGGTTGTGTTTCTTTCTTTCTTTCTTTTTTTTTTCTGGCCTCAGTCCCTGCGTAGCTCACACGCCATCATCATCTGGTTTCCAAAACTCAGGTTGCACAGTGGTGATGTCATCACCGACCAGGGCTCCAGTATACTGGCGGAGGCGCCCCTAAACCTCCCCTCTAGCCTAATCGACTGCCCCTCACCTTATCTGCCCGCCGCGCCATTCACTGGCCCCAAATCGCCTAACTTGTCTCATAATCCTCTCAGGCCCCGGGCAAGCAGGCCCGATCATATAAGGAAAATATCACAGGCTCTTGTGGGGCTGGATGGGGATCGGGAAGCGCCCCAACCCTACTCTTCCTACGCTGCTCAGGTGCCTCTCACCTCCAAAGCGGCCGCTGTGTTTCTTCTAATTCAGATTTGTTTTTCTGGCAATCTATAGTACTTTCAGTATTCTTCAAACGCATCAAATTTTCATTGGTCGGAATTCCTTGTTCACTATTCAGCTTTCACGTGCATATGAAGTAATTGAAAATACCCCTGCTTGGGTTAGGCAAGCAATGGTTGTTAGTGCTCAGAATGACATCCGTGTTCTTTAAGACTTTACAGAAGTCTTGTACCACAGATATGACCAATGTGATGCATTGTGGGTTCAAGTAAGATAAAGGAACCTTATGCTTCCTTTTTCTTTGCTATCTCAATTGCCCATCATTTACCCTGGTCTGATTCTGCATTTCTAGATTTCTTTTGGGCATCATCACCAGAGTGGACCATTGAAAATTACTGTTATTCCCCCCTAACTACCCTTCCAGGTTTTGTCTCTATTAATGCCCTTGTCATTTGGTCTTTGGTTGGAAGAATGGTTTAATTTTTTCATGCTATCTAGTCTAGTAGGTCTTACCAAGAGTTTAATGGAAGAATTTTTCAGACTCCAACATATGGTGTTGTTTTTATTTGGTGGCATTGAGTAGATTCCAACTCATATAACAATCCCGTGTGATGACTACTCCCTATGATTCTCTTGGCTGCAGTCCCCCCTCCCAGCAGTTTATTGTCAAGTAATTTACATACCATATAACTCAATAGTTCAGTCATCAAGGAGAATTGTACAATCACTACCACATCAAGTTTGGAGCGTCTTCTCTCCCCGCCCCCCCAACCGTCGTTAAATCTCCTTTAAAATGAGTTATGCAATCACAGTCATTCTAGTGCTCTCTCCCTCCTCCTGTCTTATTTACTCCCCAAAACCCCTTTTCCGCTCTATCTCCCCATGACCCCCCACCCTTGTATTCCCTTATATCCCCCTTTATCAGTTATTATCATTATACTCTTCCTGTGTTTCATGGCTGGTAGAACCAACAGAAAACAATAAAAAACAAAATTGAACTAAGGTAGTAGGATAAAAACATAATAGTATAAAGACAAAAATAACAATTAATGCGTAAGAAGGAAAAGACACCAGCAACATTCAAAAAGCCAGGGAAGAAATTTCTGTCATGGAACCAGTAACAGATTCTTGAGCCCAGAACAAATCCAGACCACTTCTATAGGCTGGTCAACTGGCCAAATAATGAGTTCAAACCCAGCATAATCAAGATTACAACAGTTTCTGCGTGATAGTCAGGCTGTTCTAGACTCTTGCCTGTGGCTAGAGCGGTTCTGCCAGTGGCTCAGCCTGACTGGAGACTCTGCAGATGGGTGGGGCTCTTTCCTCCACTGCGTGCCCTCCATAAATTGGGTGCTCATATTTTTTTTGCTCCGATGCTTTTCTCCTCACCACATTCAAATTTCGTAATTGTCGTCTTTGGATCACACAAGCTGGTGGGCTGCTTCCATGTGGACTTCGTTGACTCCTGATTTAGATGGCAGTTTGTTTGAATACAAACCTTGACGACCCCAGACACTATTTTGACTTATTGCCGGGCACCATCTGTTTTCTTCATCACACTTTGCTGTAGCACCCTTATCTTCTCTGATCATTTCATGAAGGTGAATAGCAAGCAGGGCCATAATATAAGAACTGATTGTTTTTTTTAATCCTTTTATTAGGGGCTCTTAACAATTCTTATAACAGTTCATACATACATCAATTGTATCAATCACAGTGGTGCATATGTTGCCATCATTTTCAAAGTATTTTCTTTCCACCTGAGCCCTTGGTAAGACCTGATTGTTCTTAAATTGGGGCTAGTTTTAGTGCAATTGGCTGTAATCGTTATGGAAGCAGATTACTAGATTCTTCTCCTGCAGAGCCACTTGATGGATTTGAAACTCCATTACATTACTTGAAAGCTTGTCTCACCCCCTCACCCCTTTTAATCCTCTTCTCTTAGGAAATTAATTATAAGATGCATTGAAGAGTCAACTTTTTTTTTTAAAGAGCACGTTTGGTTGTTTCTTTTTTTATTAGGTTGTAATTCCAGGTTTTGACAATCAGTTGGCAATATAAATAATTGCATTAATTTTAAAATGGATTTTTAAATAAATTTTTAAATGATAAGTAACCTCAATTCAAATATCTGTGGTAGTTCCATTTTCCATAGGCTTCGCTGAGATTCCATGAGAGGACATTTGAAGCCTTTCTAGAATTTCTTTCTCCCAGTTTTTGTTTCCACGCCTCTTCTTATTCTGAAAGGCCCATTTCCTCTCCAGCTAGCCAGATCCTTCAAACCCAGCCCAGCCCAATCTTTACACTTTCTAGATTTAGGTTATTTAGTCTCTTTAAATTCTTTGTTGGATCTCTTCACTAGGCAGTTCATTTAGTTTTATTACCAAGTGATTGTTCTTGTAAGTTTTGTCTTGAGTTGACATTTAATTCCCCACTCTCCCCACTTTCCACCCCTGCACACTAGAGATTTCATATAGTTTCACTTAGTGTTCAAATTAGGGGTGTTAAGATTCACAAAATTGACTTGTGAACACTTCATTTAAAATTTTAAAATGTAATAGACAATAGATTAAGTATTATTTGTTGCTTTTTATGTTTTAAGTATGCAATACTCAGTTACATTGAGAAGTATAGTTAGTTAGTAAGTAAGACTTCTCTGAGGAGAATCACAGTTTACAAACTGTTGGAAAGATGCAGAAAACAATTGAAAGCAAGTTATATGGCCCTTTAAACACAGTATTTAAAAATAGGAAAAGCCACTCAAATATGAGAGGCTTTAAAAATTGGGGAAATATTCTATTATCTTTTATTTACATTTTCCATGAACTCCTTGAAGCTCCTACGTATAATGCTTAGCTATGCAGAAGTCAAAATTTGGTGTGTAGCCTGATCCTAATTATGAAGCAGACTTATAATAATTCTTGTGCTCATATATGCATGGGAGATGATTACCAGTTCTAATTGTTAGGAATTATCTCTGAAATGCATTTGAGTTAAAGTCTATTTAAAAATTTTTCTTCTATGCCTGTCAGCATTTCCCAAGTTCACTGCGATAAATCTGTATCACTCTTCTCACTCACTGCCACGGAGTCAGTGCTGACTCATAGTGATCTCCCGGTGGGTTTTCGAGACTGTAATTATTAATGGGAGTAGAAAGCACCCAGTCTTTCTCCTGAGGAGCTACTGGTGGTTTCAAACTGCTAACCATGCAGATCACAGCCCAATGCATAACCACTACACCACCAGGGCTTGCTATATGACTCTTAGCTACTAGAAAAATAATTGTACCTACTAGAAAACAAATTTTAATTCTACTTACTCATATGTATAATGCTTAGTCATAATGGATGGTGCTCCTAATGGAGAATTGAGCTATAAGATGTACCCCTCACAGGGAAAGCCATTGTCTAATGCTCTCTCCACAGAAATGCATGCTTCAGGCCCAGTACCAATTCTTCACTTTCCTAAGGCTCAAGTGCTACCCTAGCAATTCTCTACGTTCAACTTTAACACCTTATTATAAGAGTAATTATAAGAGTATTAGCAAGCCAGTATCTCTTTGTTTTCTTTTAAAAGGGCATTTATCTAATATGCGGTTACTTAGAGCTACTATAGCCTTCACAGTACTTTTTACTGTCCATGAAGCAAGAATGTCTATGATTTTAAAGTCTTTCTGTCATCGCTTTCAGAAGCTGTCTTTTAAACACAATTCTCAAGTACCTCAGCAAGTCAGCGTTGCTTTCCCT